ACGCGCCATTGTTTAAATAATTCTCTAATAAGTTTAACGAAAAATAAAATTAAACGCAATCACAGGCAGAAAATGTCCATGAGGGATGATGAAAATATAATGTAAAATTAAAAATTTACACACTACTTAAATTTCCCTTATCTATTTCCCTGGAAACTTAATTAGTAGATTGGTAGACTTTTGTTGTTTAAATTTAGTCCAACTAATGATATTAAGTAAGTATTAAGTATGTTTAACCTATGCATACTATGTAGCTGTCGGAATACCAAATAAACAATAAATAAATAAACTAATATATATCGCGTTTTAAACTGTTAAAGTAATATAATACGCTTAAATTATATTGATGAAACTATCCTATATTAAAATATTGTACATAAAATCGATAAACCTAATATTTCAGTACCCTGAAAAATTGTAGTCATTTCAATATCAATAGACGTTAATTACCTTTGACCACTGAGCCTCGAAATAAAAAGGCTCTCCAGTTATTTATTTTGTAATAGGTTTCCTATTTCCAAAACTAGGAAAAATATTTAGTAAAAAAATTATTTTGCAACGAAATAGTATGTATATCTTTTTTAATTTAGTTATTAATACTAGACGTATAAACTAACTAGCTGTGTCAACGACTTCGTCCGCATAGTATAGTTATTTTAGGCATACAAATTTGTTTTTGCAAAACTCATCTTTATCATTATAAATTTGATGGACTGACTTACGGTCGTGCCCCGTGGTTCTTGCTAGTTAACCTGAAAAGATAGACATATAGTGTCGCGGACATTTTTTTATATCATTTAAAGAGGAATCATTTATTTATATATATTTCGAGGGTATCTTGAACCGTTTTCGCAGCGTACGCATCGTAAACTTATTAAGATAAATAATTTACCCCATTTTTTCCACATTTCTCAAAGCTTTATTCGTCACAGCGCGATGTTTTATTGCATATAACATTCTTCGGTAAATAATCTAATCAACACTAAAACAATTCTTCAATTCGAACCGGCAGTTCCTGAGATTAGCGTGTACAAACAAACAAACAAACTCTTCATCTTTATATATTAGTATAGATATAATTTAATTTAGCTCTCGGAGTTCACTTAATTACAAAACAAGTGTTTTAATTACATCTTAACTTAAACTTAATGGAATATAAAAAGGACATAAAAAGCAAATTGAAACTGGAACCGGTCATTACGAATCAGAAATAGTTTACGATCTCTGCCTATAAAAAGGCACTCAAACATAATATATAAGTTTATTAAGTGTTTTTAAGACCAAAGTTAATTATAAGAACATAGTTATATTAGTAAAAAAAGAATTGTTTTCTTGTAATTATTTACAGAAATTATCTTAGAAATTATCGTGTATCTATACAAACAAAGATACAAATAAAGACCCCAAACAGTTTATAAGTTCATGAATGTAATTGAATTGAATGAAATTAAAGAATATTCAGTCAAAACAGGAGTTGACAAATTTCATTATTTAAATAAAACACTTTAACGGTTTAAAATGCGATTTATTAAACCTTATGTTAACTAGGGCCCGACGTTTCGGATGCTTTGACACCCCATGATATCGCCGATTTTAAACCGTCGTAGTACTCTATTTAAATGTGTACTACTTACTCATGTAAACTACAGACAGTATTTAACTTTTATTATTTCTTAGCAAAGTCTACATTTGAACAACAGAGTATAATCTCTATCATGTACATGTCTTCATTGATTGAAAGCTTTTACAACGACGTAGGCGCGTAAAAAAAAAAAAAAAAAAAAAAAAAAAAAAAAAGGCAAGGAAAGGGTCACTATAAAATAACATCGTTTTCCCTCCGTACGGTCAGCTAACGACGAGTGGTTAATGCCGTCTAGCGATCAAATCTCTCAACGTTGAATTCTGAACGGAATACACCAATTTGATTTACTCCTGACGAAAATGACAGATACATGTCATAGTAATTACAAGCCTTTGAATGTTTGAATGTGTTTTCCGGAACTACCCACGTTATGCAAATATTAATTTGCAGACTGTTAGCTTTCCTGTCCGTCATATGTTTTCTGTGAATAAACTGTAATAACTTTTTACATTACTACGGTATATATTTTCTAAAGTATCATTTTACAATAACAATACAGTTTGTTTAACAATCATACTTTAATGGGTGAAAAAAAACCCGGGCGAGACGCCCCGGGGGCTTGCCCGACCACGGGCGGACACATTTTTGGGGTTCCCGAAACGTTTTCGCAGTGTACGCAACGGAAACTCACTAAGATGAATAATTTTCCCCTTCTCTAATCTCAACACAAACATTTTTAATTTCCAACAGTAGTTCCTAGGATTAACGCGTTCAAACAAACAAACTTTTCAACGTTATATATTAGTATAGATATAATTTTAAAATGATATAATTATTATTATCCTGGTCTCTTTTTGGAACTACAAATTTATACTATTAGAAAATGTGTTTCAATATTCTCTTTCTCGCAAATTATTGATGTTGATATTGTATTAAAACCAGTACCTAATTATGTACATGAAAGGCAGACATTAATTAATCATTATGAACATGACATGCTGTTCAAGATATTATGTGTTTAAGATAGTTTATTTGATACTTCATTTAATAAATCATTTACGAATATATCAAATCATAAAAAATCTTAGTTTCTTTGTTTGTTTACGCGCTAATCTCAGTACCTACTGATTCGAATTTTAACAACCTTTCTGTTGGTTAGAACACAAAGAAGGCTATAGGTATTATAAGATCTCGTTGTGACGAATATAAGCGAGGAAGCAGCAGGAAATGTGAAAAAAACGGGGAAAATCATTCAACTTTCTGGGTTACCGATGTGTACGTGCGCGTTAGATACCCAAAAAATATGTATGAATGAATGGTTTTCTTTAAATGATCTAAAAAGTGGCTGCAACATTGTATATCTATCTTTTAATATTAACTTGCGAGATCGACAGAGCGCGACTGACGTCGTGGGTAACAATTTAAAATTATAAAGTTGAAGAGGAGGTTTGCAAAAACAAATTCGGATGCCCAAAATATTTATTTTACGCGGACGAAGTCGCTGACATAGCTAGTGAGAATAAAAGTTTCGAATTGTTAGATTCAGATTTAATTCAATACCAAAAAGAAAAACTCCAATAGAAAACCACTTCGCAGGATTCGATAATTTCTCCTTTCATCATTTCATAACCGAAGCTCGTCCATTTTTAAAATACTCGTTCGACAAATTCACTTAATACCGCGTTAAATGAACCGTATTCGCATAATAAAAGATTTTGTACTCAAAAGCGATTTCAGAATGGACTATATCCGAGTGAAATGGTAAAATTTTGCACTCCACGCTTCCTCGTCCGTTCACTTGTTATATTGTATTATTTTTCTCGCGCTCCGCTAGCTCCATATTATACGAAGGGAAGCAATAACGGGTATAAACTAAGGAATAATACGTTAATTCGCTGAGGAATTCAATAAAATTGTATAAGAAAATGCTTTTAAACAAAGCCGCTTCGGTCTTTGATATTTACACTATAACACCAAAGCACAGCGCGTGATCCTACTGTAAGATATAATAAAAATATGCTTTTGATGTATTTGACATTGTCATTGCTTTTTTTTTAATATTAAATCGATCTAGTGGTTTCTAATATAAAAGTGTGTAGATGAATAAAGTCGTAACTGTAACGTTTGATGTGGCTGATCTAAGTTAAACCATATTTATTGCAGTTTTACCTGTAACGCATATTTGAAATCAAAAATATCTTTAATACACTTTCGAGTTCGAGAGACATTTGACTTTAAACAATATAACTGTACGAAAGTACTTAATTTAGGAAATACGCAACTGTGCGCGTATGAAAAACACGGGTTTCTTTTCATGGAATCAATTTGTTCAATCGTGTACTTTTATAACAATCTTAACTAGTAACATAAATAAAACACTTTAACGGTTTAAAACGCGATATATTAGTTAAACTTATTTGGAAATGATTTTTAACTTCGGCCCAACGTTTCCAAATAAGTTTAACTAATATATCGCGTTTTAAAGCGTTAAAGTGTTTTATTTAAATGTGTACTACTCGCGTAAACTATAGACAGTACTTAGTTACATAAAGTTTATTTATTTAGAAATAAAGCACTTAAAATGTATTTCCATAATATAAGTATACACCTACTGTAAGGGACTGAACGCTAAATACATTCCATAATTTCTTGTGAATAGGAACACGTCTGCTTCTGAGAGTAATAAATATTTACGGAGCTATAGAGCAAGAAATAGATGCACAAATACAGCAAATGCCCAGCGGCGATTGTCATCTTCGCTCATTAAAAACAAAAGACGATATGTGAAATTCGAATATTCTTATAACAAAAATTCAACAACGATCTATTGTTTGGAAAATGTGATACATTTTCAACTGTGACTTTAACGATCATAGTTTGAACTAAGTTCATGTTTTATCGTTTTCTTTTTAATTGTCATAAATATTATTAGTTTTAATTCTTAATATTTCAAGATACCTCCATATACATAAGTTCTTAATATAATTCGTGAAAATTTCTAACATTCATAGGGAACACATTACGGCAAATATTGTAAATTGAAAAACGAAAACATAACATTGACTAAAACTCAAAATTCGTACCTACGTAGGTATATATTTCATCATATAATCTTTAATGATGAAAATTGAAATAAAACGCTAATGGGTAATAATCTTTAAAATACTTTTCCAAAATTCATCACCCCTTTTAAACGATAACACAGTCACAAGTTATAATTTTATTTTCCCCCTTTCAACAACGTGTCCGTTGCATTATCGCGAACGTCAAGCTACAAAGTAGGATTTCAAAAACGGAAGACAAATTCGGCATTCGAAATTCAAAAATCGATTCGCGAATAAATCCCTCGATTTTTCTTGCAGTCGTGGAAAACTACAAAGGCGAGAGTCTCGAATTGTCTCACGTGCAGCGGACTGATATGGGCGCATATTACTGCATTGCGAGCAACGGGGTGCCGCCCACCGTCAGCCGCCGGTATCACGTGCAAGTACATTGTAAGTCATCCACCTGTCTCGGGCCCTAAACCGCTCCTCAACTTCTTGAACGAAAAAGATAGATTGTAATCGCTCTTTGCTTTGCAATTAAGGCTTAGTCATTAACTGCCGCTTTCCTCAAGGTAAATAGAAATAATTATTGGCTCGAATAAAGGTAAGGTCTCTTTTGTAAACCTTTGTCAGACTTATGATTTTTTCTTTGAGTAATTTATTTAATGTAATCGTTATAATGTATATAATGCACTAATGGATTAAAAATCTAAAATAAAAAAAATCGAAGTATTAATAATGGATTAAAAATCGAAACAAATTGAAAAAACAATTGTCTCGGAGAGCACTTAAACCGGCGTCGTCAGCGTTCCGTTCCGAATGGCTACCAAGTCTCAAGTCAATTGGTTACAGCAACAGCACGGAACGCTGACGATGCCGCTGCAAGTCCTGCCCGAGTCGAATTTTTTTTTTATTTGTTTTCGATTTTTATTCTATATAGTGCCATCATGTGCAATAACAGGTTAAAAGTATTAAATAACAATGGTTAGTTTTATTGACCCATTAAAATAATTGTTTTTATGTATAACGTAGTTTGAATTTTCTGATATGGCATTTTCTTAATTAATTAGAAAAATACTCTTATCTTAGTTATACCACAAGTAAAGGCAGCTCTACAATTAGTGGGTGCACCGCTTGGCAGTGACGTAGAACTTCAGTGTTATATAGAAGCCTCTCCCAAAGCTATGAACTCCTGGTACCGGGAAGATGGTAAGTATCCTTCGCTTATTATTTACATTATAGTAAATACGAACTAGCATAGTTCTATTGAGTAAGCGTATTTATGATTATAAAAAATAACGGTTTAAAACGCAAACTACTTGTATAGTAATCTATTCAATTAGTTTTAATTGCGAATGTTTTGATGTTTTAGAGCAGAAGTTTTTGAAGAACGGTTTTATGTAATTTGTATCATTCCCGTAAAGTGCACATCACATTTCTGTGTTCGTTTCATTCAACGATTTTATTTACAGGCTAGTTGTAGATCAGACTTCAGTGCCCAGCCCGACTGAAACAATCAATTGTTTCTTTCTGATTCGAACCCAGAACCTCTCGTGCTTTATGGGAGAAGTCTTATGCTAGTTAACGTGCATAACCATTTAGCTACAGAAGTAGAGTACGTAACAAACTATAAATGAAGCCTCAAAATCTTTCAAATCTATATAAGTCTGTGATTTTTACATGTCTAAAAAAATTATGTCTTAACTTAAGTAAATTTTTAAAATTTGGCCCTTATTATGGGTCCATTATAATTTTGCTAAAGACATTTCCGTCTAGCACGCGTAAGGTCAATTAACATTAGGTTATCTAGGAGTTGGAACACCGCCAGACAATTGAGAGACAAATTACTAGAGACTAATGTCTGTTCTATCGAGAACTTTGACATCTCTATCGCATTAAACTGCGTTCGTGAATCGAACTTCATAGAAGACGGATCGCATCTAATCTATCGGATATTACTCCACTTTCTTACCGTTACTATTAAATTTTTCTTTCGCTCGAGAACTTTACGAATCTCACATAAATCGTAAAGTCGAAATGCGGGAATCCGATGAGTTCAACGTGTTTTATTATCGTTTCATGCTTTTAAAATAATAAAGTTCTCAATAATGAACCATGAAGTTGCTAAAATATTTTCCTTTTGTAGTGTTTGAGGTAAAAAGTACTATCAATTCAGCAACTTTTACTAAAAAGTATTTGTTTTAATTCCCATTTTTAAGTTTCATTAAAATCCAATAAGTTACTTTTTGTCTACCTCTACCAACTTTCTCAATTTCACGCGTTTGAATGACCTTTTAAATACTAAAGATTAAGATTCTATTAGACATCGACTATACAGCTATAAATAGAACAGTCTTTTACGTCACTTGATTGCATGCTTTTTAACTTTTAAACAAGATGACAATAAATATATAAGTTAAACTTATTTATTGTAGGTTAAGTAATATATTTTGCGTTTTAAACCGTTAAAGTTTTTTATTTAAATGTGTTCTATTCGCGTAAACTACACAGACAGAAAACAGACTAGAATCACAAGAGATTAAACGTCCCGGTTTTCTCATCTATGGACTGTGGTTCGTGATCCGGATGGAGTTTCGACATTCCTGCCGGATTTCTCGATAAAGTTCACAGGCATGTTACGCGAAAGTTACTCGGTGACGTTCCACGACCCGTTTATTATAAGTAAATAAAAATATAAAGACACCATCTCAACGATATTATTCTACCTAGTGATCTGAATAAACAAAGAGGATTTATATCTAATGCGTTTCACAGCCTTGGTGAGCGATAAACTGTTAGAAAATCCAAAGTTCCGTATAACGGAGCGCTTGGTGAACGAGTATTCTTTATGGATGAACCTGACTATAAAATCGCTGGCTTTCGGCGATTTCGGCACTTACGTGTGTGCATCCGTCAACGCGCTCGGCAAGATGGAAAGCCAAGTTAGCTTACATAGTAAGTTTTTAGATCGTCTCCCTTTATGTGCTTTATAGGACTTCTTTAAGTAGTTTTATATACGATAGATTTAAGAGGCTTTCGTGACCTGGGAGCACAGACGAACATGGGCGTCATATCCCACAAAGATAATGTGTCTATCTAACAAATAATCTAATTAAGCAGTGATGTCGACCTATTTCTAACGCTCGGAAGAACGCAGACTAAAGACCAAAATTGATATTGCCACCAATTCTCTCATGTAAAGCAATTTTAAAATATGTAAAGCAAATTTTTTAACGGTTTAAAACGTGATATATACTAGTTAAACTTGTTTGAAAATTATTTTACCTATGGTCATATAAGTTTTACTAATATATGTCATGTTTTAAACCGTTAAGTGATTTAATTTAAATGTGTACTATTCGCATATACTAAAGACAGTATTCCATAACATATTTTATATACATGTTGGATCTGATAGAAATTAAACCCAAGATCCATTTAAAAGTCATTCGCTACCATTGGACCCACTAGTCTGTCTAAAACTAGTTGAAAACCAGACACATTACTACGTCGTTTCGCTGATTGATTTTCTTCGCAAACAAGCCCTTCAGGTTTTTGATTGAACATTGCAATTCCGCGCCTTATACGAACAAGCTACGCTATACCACTTATACGGAGACTTATATTCTTTGCTTTCTTGCTTTGTTTATTTGTTTATATTCCTTAGAACTATTAAGCTACGCATGAATAAATAAGCTATAGCTAACTTATCAAAAAGAGTTCAAAAATAAAGAATTCATTTACTTTGAATTGATTTCGCTCAATATGTCAATGTCTAACAATAACAAAATTATAAAAATCAACTGCACACTTGTTAATTTTAAATGTTAAACGTTTTTATTAACTCTATAATGTTTAATCAAACATTTTGTATTCAATAGAAATCGACGTGAACCTAAATGGTGTAGGAGATGAGCCCATGGTGTCCGGCGCAGCGTGGCAGCGAGCGAGAAACTCACACGCGCGAGCGGGCGCGACACAGTCGCATTATATAACACAACATCTCGCCCAATTAAACGCAATACTTATCACTACTCTACGGTATTTATATAATTAAGATCAATCATTAATTAGCAATGGGCTATTTGACCGATTAAAAAGGACTTTATTTGGTAGATGTTAAGAAGCCTCAAGAAGGTATTTTTGAATCCTGATACATATTTACTGAATATAAAATTCAAAATCAGTTAACGCTGATTTTGCGATGACCTGAAATTGGCCGTTAGTGTATGTCAAACATTACGTTTTAACAGAGGTTGAAGTTGAATAAAATTAGTTACATATTTATTTATTTATTAATGTAAACAATAGAACTGTTTTAACACTAGGAAGCATGGTGGCTTATAGCGCTGTTTTAAAGCAGTTTACATTGCCATAAACTCGACTATCTGTCACGTGACGTCAATGTATAAAAAAATATTTTTGCGGATTCTTTATTTAAATCTATTATTATTTTTAACATATGTGATCGTTTTCTAATTTTAAACTTAAACTTAATATTAATAACTGTAATTGATGCTTTATTTTTCGCATTGTTAAATAGCCCATTGTGAAAACAGTGATTCTAACAATAATGTAAAGAGCGTAGAAACATCTCACAGTCCTTCAATTTTGTCAACAACTTTTTACGTCATTATACTATAAATAGTCAAGATCCTGTCGGAATTGTCCTATACTAACGTATCTAGATGGTTGTTACAGTTAATTTATTTATTCCAATGAAGTGTCGTTTTATGGTGATTTATACTTACATAATATGATAAATATATTTAGTTATAGACAAAGAATTGTAAACGATAAACGTTATATCATTTATCAATAAACTGTTACTGTACTGATCTCTAGTAAAATAATAATGTGATATATTAAGTAATAAAAAATAATTGTATCTATAGTGTAGTCACAATTTGTTGTTATTTTGATCAAAGGAATTTATTTCACAGTTGAGAAATTCTAATATATAGTGTGTATGCAATTGTTTTTGTACTTTGTGTTTCAAAATGAAAACAAGAGAATTTAAATAAAACACTTTAACGGTTTAAAACGTGATGTATATTAGTTAAACTTATTGAAAATTATTATTCACTAAGGCCCGACAAATCGAATGCTTTGCAGCAGCCGTGGTTACGGCGAGACTGTGTCCTAATATATATCGTGTTTATAACCGTTAAAGTGTTTTATTTTAATGTGTTTAATAATTTTATTATACATATACAATACTTTGTTTAATGAAACCTATTGTGAAATATAAATGACTAAATATTAAAATTTTATATAATGATCTTTAACCGTAGTTAGAATAAGACGGTAATAGAATATTAGCGTAATTATTACTATAAATCAAGAAACTAAATTCACTTGTAAAATACGATACTTCTGAATGTTAAACGATAAATTAATCATGTTCTTAATATGTATCATTACGTTGACTTTGACAATAAACTATGATGAATATGTAAACTTAAAATAAATGTCTTTTAAAACAGTTATTTTTTTATTTATGAGACCTATACATAAATAGCTGTGTCAGCGACTTCGTCCGCGTAAAATCGTTATCTTGGACATTAATAGGTATATGTTTTGCTCGTGTTCATATTTAAAAATTATTGTTATATATTTTTATTAAGCTAGCATCGGTTGCGTCCCGTCGTTCTTGCAAGTTGACATTAAAAGATAAACATATAGTGTCGCGGACATTTTAAATATTTTATTCATTAATATTTTTTAGGTATCAGCACACGTATCAGAAACTCACATAGATGAATAAATTTTCAATTTGAACCAATAGTTTCTGAGATAGTGCATTCAAACAAACAAACTTTTCAGTTTTATATATTAGTATAGATTGATTGACTACAAAAGCAATAATGTAAAATATTGCTGCCTTAAAGATTTGATGAACCTTCTGAGAATTAATTACAGTTTTGAAATTATAAGAAAAATCTACATGGCAAAGGTCAACGCCCTCGCAGCTTGTTTGAATCAACAATCGTTCTACACAAATAATCTTTATTAGTCCTATTAATATTTTCAATTAAGGCAAAATAAATATTGTTTCAAACTGTCTTTAAATTTGAGAACAACTTTCAAAGCGAAATTAAAATTCGATGCTTTTATAGAAATATATATTTAAAGACAATTTAGGTTAATTTGGAGGAATCTACAATATATCGTAAGTAGTGTTGATATATTAGTATAAGTATTAAGTCTCTTTGAGGGCTGTTGTTGTGCATTTTTAATCGATTGAAAGCACTTGCTTATACTAAATAAGGTTACACTGTAATAGTAGTAGTTAGGTATGTCGCTATTATGTTATATTCCTTTGATTTTTCAAATTTCAATGTTATATAATAAGGGCGTTTTTCTTGATTATGGTAGTCTATGCTAGCCTTGTATTTGAGAAAACAAAAAAGCCGTACTATCAGTTCTAGCAGTATTCACGTTAAATACTGTCTATAGTTTACGCGAGTAGTACACATTTAAATAAAACACTTTAACTGAATGACTGACGGATGCTTTGCAGCAGCCGTGGTCACGGGGAGACACGGCTGCTGCAAAGCATCCGAAACGTAGGGCCGAAGTTAAAAATCATTTCCAAATAAGTTTAACTAATATATCGCGTTTTAAACCGTTAAAGTGTTTTATTTAAAAATATTCACGTTTATTGTGGTTATATTGGGCATCATAATTTGTTTTTATTTTTTTTTTAAATAACCTTCTCACCTTTTTAAATTATTCCTTTAATCCATGGTAATGTACGCGTCTTGTCGTTCTTGCGTGTGAATCTTAAAAGGTAGACATGTACAGTTTCGTTTTTTTTCTTAGATCGTTTAAAGAAGAATCATTCTTTAATACGCATGTTTTTATTGTGTCTTTGTTTTACCACCTACTACTTCGCTCCTGTTAGTCACAGTCTGATGGTATAGAGCCTAAAGCCATCCTCGATAAATGTTCTATACAATACTAAAAGATATTTTTCTAATTCGAACTAGTAGTTCCCGAGTGCGTTCAAGCGAACTAACTCTACATCTTTATAATATTAGTATATATAGAGCAAAAGGAGTTACTTTTGCCACGATTTCTTACAAAATATTCTTAAGACCCTTGATCTTAGTATTCAGGGAAGATCTCAATAACAAGTCAAGCTAAATGGTAGGTTTAATGAGAATACTTATATTCACGGATGGCGCATTGATATTCGCTACACGAGCTATCCGTGTTTTGCTCAAGATACCAATTTACTTTCCAGATCATCCTCTCCAAATCACCGATAAACTTTTCACTTTTTTACGGGTCAAATTGGATCTTCACTCGACAACTATCTTGAGAACATATTAACTATACGCTGTAGCGAATGGGAACGTTGGAAACAATTTTTATATAAATTTAAAATCGAATTTAGATTGAGAATAATTAGAACACGGGTGGGTCTTAACCCGGCATTCACAGCGTTCAGTTATTTTTTTTATACAATTTCGATTTTTAATTATATAATTCTATCACGTGTACCTGATACGTAAAAAATATTACAGTTTTCAAACATTTAAATAAAACACTAACGGTTTAAAACGCGATATATTAGTTAAACTTATTTGAAAATGATTTTCAATATATCGCGTTTTAAACCGTTAAAGTGTTTTATTTAAAAAGTAACGAATATATAAAATCTAAGCGATATATCTTGTTGATTGATGTTATCAGTAGTTACTGATAACATCAATGGTTCTTTGCTTTTAAAATATATATTGATTTCGCGCGTCGTATTCATAAACCGAGCAGAAATAAATTTAGGCACTTGATACACTTCACGTTTTGAATCGTTAAGAATGTCTTATTTAATACCTTCGATAAAAGTAGACACAAAGATAAAATTTAACAAAACGTTGAATACATTTCCTCTCAAAACAGTACTTCAACTTCCTACCTGTCCTCGTATAAAATAGTTTAGCAAGATTCCGCTTAGAACGGTATCAATGCATCAATAGAAAGTTCACGTGCTGACGATAAGACTTTAGAGTCGGGCTGAGAGTTTCATCAGCATAATTTATTCGGAACAGCAAGAAAAGTATCCCGTGTGGACGTATTTTTTACCCACTGAATTTTCGTCTTCGTTATTTTCCACGAAATCTCCGATTGCGGAACGCAGTCACGTAGTTTTTGGCGTCACTCGAGTTGAGATGCGCTTGAGTTTAATAATGTTATAGGCTGCTAGTTATACGAACGCGCTGAATCATACATAATATGCTAAATTCGTTTTTAGCTATTGATTTTCAGTCTTGAAGTAGATAGGTACACCATGACTATGTACTGTCTTACACCTCGACTGAAATTCTGAGGTAACAAGCGGGAAATCGCTTCTCGTGACATTAACACTGAAAGCCTTAAGTACAATTTGGAAAACTATTATTACATCAATACATAATTTATATTTTTCTAAAACATGTTGGATTTCGTCTAGAAATATGGATATAAAATGGGTGGTATTTCGAAATTCCATCCCGGTCACAACTGTCAACAGACGAAATAGAGTAAATTGTAATCGCTTAATGTTATTAAGAACGGACTTTGTACCTATCTACTGAAAATCTTGGCTTTTAAACTGTCATTATTTAAAAACACATTTTGCTGCGAATCAGTGGTTAAATTTTCCAATAGCGTGGTATAAATAAATAAACTATTCACACCCAAAATCAACAATTCAGCGATAAATAATAAAATCTATGACAATGCACAACTGCACACAGTCACGAACACTCACGATTCCCAGCCAATAAATCTCTCACAAAGCCGAAAAAACAAACGAAACGATTGTGGTATTCGTTACAATCGTATGCACATTCGACGTATACATCTCTACTATAAAAACGTAGAACGTGTGTACATTGAGGCCAAATAGTATTTCGATATGATGTTTAGATGTTTATTTAAAAATGGAATAAAATATGTCTTCTACCGAAAGTATCTGTGCCATTTCTTGTAGTTCAGAATTCAGATGACAATCAGACAAGCAAAGATGAGTGTAAGCTTGTATTATATAATTTCGTCTAACTATGTAGT